AACTATTATTTTAAATTTTAAAAAAGATTTACTAAATCTAATTATTTCTTTTTGAAGCTTAATATTTTTCTCCTTTTTATAATTCTTAAATTTTGGTTTTTATAATTATGTAACTTTTTAAATAGTAATTATTAATATGGAGGTACAGTCTGTACTCCAAATAAACATCAGCCGTTACGTTACGTTGATTTAAATTATAAAAATTATCTATTTAAAATATATTTGTATTTGCTTATGATTTAAAATCTATTATTTATATATCAAATTATCTATTATATCTATTATTATTGTTTCTTAATAAGCGATTAATTTTGTTTTCTTTAATATTCTCAGTATTTATTATCTTTATTTTTCTTATTTTGGTAATTTTAAGTAATAAAAATTCAGCTTAAAACAAAAGTGTAGCAGACGCTATTTATATTCTTGTATTTATGTGTTTTATCCAGGAAATTATCCATTATATCTATTATTAATGTTTCTTAATCAGCGATTAATTTTGTTTTGTTTAATAATCTCAGTATTTATTATCTTTATTTTTCATATTTTGGTAATCTTAAGTAATAAGAATTCAGCTTAAAACAAAAATATATTGTAGATGCCTTTTTATATTCTTGTATTTATGTATTTTATCCAGGAAAAAAGTCATAAAAACGAAAAATTCTGTTTCTATTTATAAACTTGACTAGATATTTAATATACAGTAAACTAGAAATTTTATTCTGTATTTTTAATTTCGTGTTTTGTATTTTTTGAAATTCTAATTTTTTATTTCTGTAATTTTGTATTATGTTATTTAAAACCGCATATGACAATTTTAATTTTTAATTTTAATAGAAATCTTCATTAATATCAAAACCTGAATTTAAATGCTGCTTTTCTTTTATCTTTTAATATGCGTCCTATAAAAAGAGGTTATTGTAGTTCATTCTCGCATAAAAAAAAAAAGCATTTAGTGTTAAAATTAAAGACATTTGTTTTTTCTTTCAACTGTTTGTTAGAAAAGAAAATTAGTAATTTTGCTTTGCATTTAAATTTTTTACTAAGTAGTAATTTTTATTAATTTTTAGTAGTTAATTTTAGTATTTTTATTTATTTTTTCATGCTTTTCATTTTATTATTGATACTTTTTAAATTGTACTTCTTTTATTTAATTAAATTATTAATTTTTGCGGGGTTCATTCTCACATAAAAAAGCATTGTTAAAATTCAAGATATTTGTTTTTTCTTTCAACTGTTTGTTATAAAAGAAAATTAGTAATTTTTATTTGTATTTATGTTTTCATGTTTTTTAATTAAGCTTTCATTTTATTATTGATACTTTTTAAGTTATACTTTTTTTTATTTAATTAAATTATTAATTTTTACGGGAAAAAACCAATTTTCTTTCAATATGGCCAAAAAAAGTTTTGACAAAAAAGAAATTATTTATTTATTTTTTTTAACTTCAGAAGCGTTAATAGAAATTATATGTTCAGCTGGCACGAGTAGTTCTGTATTTCAAATCATGTTAATTAAAACCACAAATCACAATTTTTAAGTTTTTTTATCATGTGTGAACATGATGTTGTCCTGCTTAGGTGTTCGTGACGTTATCCGAAAATGAAGGTCAAGCAAATAAAACTCGATCGCAAATTTTGGCGGGAAATGGTAGTTTCAGCCCCTTAGCTCTTGAAATGATTCATGAATAACGTTAATCTTTAGGAATTTTCTGGAGAATTTGGCTTTTGCTTGGAAGTGTTTTTGTAGTATGGTTTTGAATTACTTTTTATGTGTTGGGATTTTAAAGATTTGTGTATCCAATAGCTATAAGTGCTCATAGTGCGTTGCTCAATTTCTTCTTCTGGAAGTTTTATATTTATCACTTTTGGCACTTTCCCGTGCCTAGTGAGCTGTATAGTGCTTTTTATTGTATTTGGAATACTTCACTTATTCCTAGAATTTTCAAACTTTGATATATTCCTTTGGCTACTGAATGTGACAACGTTTCTTGTAGAATTTCGAATGCTTCATTCTTCATTTACGACTTCATTTATCATACTTTTGTATATTCTTTTAGAGATTCTTGAACAATTCATTCTTCACGAAGTTCTTTATCTATTCAACATTGCTATATTCATGTGGTTATTCAATTTGGCCATACTTGTAGTATTCCAATCAATCGCTTCATATATCTCGTGCATTATTAAATATTGGCACATTCCTGAGTTTATTCATCCGTTCCCGAATGTTCACACATAAGTTGAAATTTTCCGAGCAAATTACAGTTTTTTTAAACCTCATTTCATCGGCCTTTATGTATAACTTTTTTTATGTTATATATTTTTAAATTTTAATAGAAATCTTCACTAATATTAAAACCTGAATTAAACGTTACTTTTCTTTTGTCTCCTAACGGGCGCCATGTAAAAAGATGTTACTGTATTTTATTCTTACATAAAAAAGCATTTATTATCAAAATTATAGATATTGATTTTTTTTATCTTCAAACTCTTTATTATAAAAGAAAATTATAATAATTTTATTTGTATTTATAATTTCATGTTTTTTATTGAGCTTGCATTTTAATATTTTCTTAAGTTATACTTCTTTTATTTAACTAAATTATTAAATTTTACGTGAAAAACAACTTTTTTTCATTATGGCAAATAATTCATCTTTTTGATACTTTTTTAAGATGTATTTCTTTTATTTAATTAAATTTTTTCAAAAAAACCATTTTTTTTTTTTTTTTTTTCATTGTGGCAAAAAAGTAATTTTATTATTGATGCTTTTTACGTTATATTTCTTTTATTCAAATAAATTATTAAATTTTACGCGAAAACTAATTTTCTTTCTTTATGGCAAAAAAAATCATTTTATTATTGATGTTTTTTACGTTATATTTTTATTTAATTAAATTATTAAATTTTACGTGAAAAACAACTTTTTTTCATTATAGCAAAAAATTCATCGTATTGATACTTTTTAAGATGTATTTCTTTTAATTAAATTTTTTCGCAAAAACAATTTTTTTTTTCATTATGGCAAAAAAGTAATTTTATTATTGATGCTTTTTACGTTATATTTCTTTTATTCAAATAAATTATTAAATTTTACGCGAAAACTAATTTTCTTTCTTTATGGCAAAAATTCATTTTATTATTGATGCTTTTTAAGTTATATTTCTTTTATTTAATTAAATTATTAAATTTTAAGTGAAAACCAACTTTCTTTCATTATAGCAAAAAAAAAAAAAAAAAAAAAAAAAAAAAAAAAAAAAAGAAATTATTTTTTTTTATCTTAAGGGAACGTTCCTATTTTGTTATGTCGTAAACCGAATTGTTTTTTCAAAAAATTTCTTGATATTTGACATTTTAAAATAATGAAATTTCACGTAACCTTTGAAATTGAAATAAAACTGCATCATTTTGTACTGATACCAAAGAAACGATTCATAATCCAAAGTAGTTTATATCCGTGAAAAGTTGGAATATTTAAAATATTTGTGTCATCGTATTTTCACTTTTGTGTGAAAACGATCTCTTTTAATCGAATAAAATCTAAACGAATAAATCGGACTCCAAAAAATTTCGTGTATATCATTTACAAATATTTTTGTTATATCATTGCATTTAAATAATAAACGATTGTAGTCAGAAATTTGATATTATTAATTCTCCATTTAAAAGAGATAGCGCTTCCGAAAAAATTTAATATATTTATTTTCATAAAATAATAATGACGTGTTCTTGCTTATTTATGTGGTTTTTAAATTTTTTTGTACCCCTGTTCTATGATTTCCCTAGAGTTCTTCATATGTTACGAATTCTCTAAATTAACAATTCTAGAAAATACATTTATGAAATTTTCTACATAAATTATAAAAAATCTCAAATATATATGTATATATAGACAGATAAACTCGCTCATTTTCCTGCTAAATATGTTTATTTTATTAAAAAAAACTCTATTTAACCATTGGACATACTATTTAAATATTTCTCTACTAAAAAAAAGCTATCCGTTCTTTCTCTTGTATAAATCTTGATACGATGTCTTGAACGTTTACTTTTACGAATATCTTTTATGATGAGTTCCCCCCTCGCTTTAAATTAATTATTCTAGATCAAATTTATGAAATTTTCTACTTCAATTATTAAAAAAAATAAAATCTCAAATGTATATTTAGATATAAATAGATAAATAAACTTGCTCATTACCTGCTAAATATGTTTATTTCATTAAATAAACTAATCTATTGCACTAACTAACTAAAAATCAATTAACCATAATAACCATATAATTGACCATAAAATTAATTAACCATAAATTAAATATTTCTCTACAGAAAAGCTATCCGTTTGATTCTATTATCTTTAGAAATGTAAGATTTACTTTTTCTTGTACGAATCTTAATACGTTGTTTTTAATATGTCTTGAACGTTTACTTTTACGAATATCTTTTATGATGAGTTCCCCCTTCCTGAGCTTGAAATTAATAATTCTAGATCAAATTTATGAAATATTCCACTTAAATTATTAAAAAAAAAAATCTCAAATATATATTTAGATATAGATAGATAAATAAACTTGTAAATTACCTGCTAAATATGTTTATTTTATTGAAAAAACTAATTAACTATTGGATTTAATTAGCTAAAAATCAATTAACCATAATATCCATATAATTAATTAACCATAATTTAAACTAACCATAATATCCATAAAATTAATTAACCATAATTTAAATATTTCTCTACAGAAAAGCTATCCGTTTGATTCTATTATATTTAGAAATGTAAGATTTGCGAATATCTTTTTCTTGTACGAATCTTAATAAGATGTTCGTATACGATGCCTTGAATGTTGTTTTTTTACGAATATCTCTTGTGATGAGTGCCCCCACCACATTTGAATTAATAATTCTAGAACATAAATTATAAAAAATTTCAAATATATATTTAGATATAGATAGATAAACATGCTCATTTTCGTGCTAAATGCGTTTATTTTATTAAAAAGGTTCTCGTTAGATCACCGAAGTTAAGCATCATTGGGCGCGGTCAGTACTTGGGTGGGTGACCACCTGGGAACACTGCGTGCCGTTGGCAAATTTGGGACCTGAATGGCCCGAGTGTCTAGCGCTCTGGCGCTCGGTGCCACAGGTTTCGGGTTCGAATCCCGGCGGTGCCATGGATGTTTGTAGTGGTTCGGAATCCACTTTAAGCCGTAGGTCCCGGTCTTCTATGACTGTAAGAGCGTCACGGAGCAAAAGTCAGGCTTCTACCTACGGGTGCTCCATCACAACAGAAGCTGCTTCCTTCCCCTTCAATCATGAGTCCATATGGGCTCGTGGGCTTGGCCAGCCAAGTAGGATAAGAAACAACAACAACAACATTTTATTAAAAAAAAAAATTATGAACCATTAGACTTATTTAAATATATCTACAAAAGCTATCCGTTTGATTCTAATATCTTTAGAGATGTAAGATTTACGAATATCTTATTCTTCTCTTACGAATATATTATTCTTCTCTTACGAATATCTTATTATCTATTTTTTAAATTATATATTTCCAACTGTGGTGCAATGATAAGTGGAACTATTTTCTTAAACGATTATCTTTAATGAACTCATTGTTTTTCCCCAGTTCCAACCGCTTTGGATAGCTTCTAGTCCTAAAAAAAATATTAAATAAAATAAAATAATTATAAATTATTTAAATTATCTTTTTTTTAACGGAATCTGAATCCTATTCCCGTTTTTAATCTGAAATTCTTCAAAAAATAAAAAAATCATTAATTATATATTTTTAAAATATGATGACCACATAATAAGACGATCCATGCGCATTTTCTAATAATCAAATGTTCATTGAGACGCTGCAGTTGCTTTGTGATTCACAAACCCCTTAGAATTTGAAAACCCACCTGCAAGAATTTTGCACCGATATGCAGCGCCCAGCAAAAACATGTTGAAAGGGAAAAAGATTTAAGACAAAAGATTTTTTTCAAAACCAGCAGCTGATTTATAATCCAATCCATAGAATTCGAAAACCACCCGCAATAATTTAGTATATATGCTTTTTGCACCGAGATTCGTTGCTCACCAAAAACAGGCAGTCATAACATGGGAAATGAATGCAGTATTAAGACAACAATTTTTCACCATCGCAGCTGGGTTTTTGCAACTTTGAACTGCTAACATAAAAACATCTGCACAAGTTCGTACCATGAGAAAGATCTTTAGAAATGTAAACATTTTCCCGTATAATTTGTTTAGAAATTTGTCGCTGAGCACTTAACGAAGAGTTTTCACATTGTCGGCCTGAGAAAAAAGGGTGCAGCTCTTAGTTTGAATGTTTTAGCTGTTTAGTCTATGATTGTAAATTTCCTAACCATTTTTTGGCAATGTCTCTTTAATCTTCTAAACAAAATCTAAAGTTCTTGAAAAAATAATTCTTAATTAAATAATATAAAGATATAATGGCTTCATAATGAGGCTTCCAAACTCTGTTGTGAGAGAAGTTTTCTAAACTATCTCCACTGACTTCTTTTTTCGTGATGAGACAGATCCAGAAAGACATCATCCGATCTGTCTAGATATAAATATATACAATAAACTGCCGAAATTTTTCGTATCGCAAAAATAAAAAGTATTTTAGAGAGCATATTTTTCATGGGAATTTTAATCATGTGCAACTATAATTTTTTATGCATATGAGCAAAAATGATGACAATGAAGAAATTTTCAGTTCTTATAATCTAGAAAATAGTATTAAAATTTTTTTTTTTTTTACTAATGCAGAATAAAAAAATAATTACATCATTTTAACTCTTCTTTAGAGACATATTTCCTATTTATATTTTTATTAAAAATTGAGCGAAATAAAAAAAAAACATTTAAAATAAAATTAGAATTGAATTAAATTTACATAGTAATACAGGAAAACTGAAATTTTTTAAATTTATTTTTTTAACACTGTTAACTGTTATTGAAAAAAAAAATTACTTACGCTCGGTAATTAATATTTTTTTTACTGAACAATACTTTGTAACTTTTGCAAACTTATGCAAGATCACATACATTTGGAGTAAGTTTTTTTTTATACTTATGTTTCTGAAACTTTTTTTTTGTTCCAATGCAGCTGGCATACACTTAGACAATTGTCTTGAATGCCTTAAGGCAAGCACTGCAGCTATGTTACTTATTTAGCACTATCCAGGAGGTCCATGTAGCTTGAAGATAGCCACGGACGAGGAGTAACAATACCCCCGCAAGGCTCTACGATCATGTTAGACCGGGACCTACGGATTAAAGTGGATTCCGAACCATTACTAACATTCATGGCACCGCCGGGACTCGAACCCGAAACCAGTGGTACAGAGCTCTAGCCACTCGGCCATCAGCCCCCATATTGGTACCGAGGACGTCAGGTTCGAATCCTAGCCTGGATGGCCTGGATGTTTGTGAGTGGTTCGGTATCCACGTTAAACTGTGTAGATCCCGGTTTAATTAGTCTGAAATGGGCCAAAATGGCCGTAGAGCGGTAAACCAAACCTTATCAATAATGTCCTAATCTTAACCAAATTTTATTTCGAACGGAAAATGTCCTGCTGTTAGGTTGTTCAATCATTGAGATTATTTAATACGCGCTGATGTTATCACGAGCGATTGACAGCTAAGATGCGGTTAATACGTAAGTACCAATACAGCTAAAATTTTTAAAATGCTATATTAGTGTAGGATCCCAACAATGCATAACGAAACGGAACTCTATTGGTACGAGAAATACAATAAATAAATAATTTTAATTAGTGATCAAGTACAAATCAGTCATGGGATATCATATACTAGATAGCTTAATTTTTATACTGTCTAAAATTATAACTGTGTATTGGCTGGAAATAATGATAATTTGTAAGACTTATCTGCAATATTAATTTTGTGCTTTTTTTTCTTGCAGTTGTATATATATATTTTGTATACCATGTCTTCAGAAGATGAAGCCCTCTATACCTCTTATACGTCCGCCTCGGAGTAAGTAGTATATATCTTTTTGAGACATTTAAAAAAAATTTCTTTATGCAGTGTGTTTCTTTGTAAAGTCTCTTTTAATGATGAGTTTTCTTCAATAATTGCCAATCTTTGGACTGCAGTATTGTCGAAAACTGTTAAAATCAGCAATTTTTAGTAGACTTCATACTCACACGTGCAAAAGAAATACTCCCGTCTTCATCAATAGATAAGAAATAGGCAAAATTTTAGTTTCAGACAAGATTTTAACTAAATGAATGCTCGTCTTAGATTTAATTAGATTATATAATATTATTTAACGAAAATTATAGTTAGTTATTATTTCTAATAGTATTTAAAATTTGCATTCTGCCCAGTTTGATGCCAGAATTATTTTTTTATAACTTCCCAAGCATTTTTCCTTAGTGATTATTAATTCTTCAAAATGCATCCGTTATTTTTCCGGAGATTTTTTTACTTAATGAATTAATTTAATTTAATTAATTTATTATTTACTTATTGAAACTGTGTATCATTAAAAGTATTGCTTAGAAGCATTGCATAATATTGTCAGCATATCTACCTTATATTGGAAGTTCTTACAAAATATGTATTGAATATATTCAATTTAATTTGATAGAAAATAGGATAATTTTTATTGCATATTTTATCTTCGTAGTCAAAGATTTTTATTATTTGAATTTTGTTTCTTCTTTGTAAATGTTGTGTGTTATGTGGATTAGTTATTGTTACAAGTACTCTATAGGGTGCTGAGAATAAATGTCCAAATAAGTGTTTTTCGACTTTTTTGTGCCACTTTTTTTATAACGATTAGTAACATGTTTCATTTAACATATTGATATATATCATAGTAATGATGTTATTTTATTATCTCGCATGTAATTTACAAACATAAAAATGGGAGGGCCTCATAAGTGGAATAGCCTAGGGCCTCTTTTCATCGAAATCCGGCCCTGCCAATGGGGACAAGACCCCCTTAACCTCCTCATCTTAATTCATGCATATAAGTTACAATTAATTATTGACTACTTAAAATCTTAATAATAGGGTAAAAATAATGTTTCTAAAAATGCGGACCTGAATGAACGAGTGGCTAATGCTCTGGCGTTTAGTACCACAGGTTTCGGGTTCGTGTCTCGGCAGTGCCATGGATGTCTGTATTGGTATGGCCCTGACTGGAGTATTGTAATTTTCATTTCAATTGATATGTTGACCGACCTAAGCTGATTTTATTCATCTGTATTTTAGGGACATAGGCTCCCAGGACACTCCTGAAGAGTTTGGGGGGAGCTCGAGCTCATCCTCCCGTGCCTCCGCCGCCACCACCTGCTCCCCTGCCGGCTCACCACGTCGCTCACCCCGGCTGGCAGAAAAGAGGAGCCGCCTACTGGAGGTAAGACACTTCTCATAGTCCCGCTTTCACCTTTTAGCTGATATCTCGTCCTATACCCTTCCACTCTATCAAAAATCTCATCAAAAGATCAATTAAAGTCCGCGCTCAAGAAGACCTCTATTACCGTGTTTCCCAAAAGTCCTGGAAAAATTCCATCCCAAGAGTAGAGCAGTCGCTCGTTTCCGACTAGCCACCGGACATGACTGCCTGCGAAACCATCTTTACAGACTCGAAACTGTTCCTTCCCCGATATGCAGCTCTGGAGAGGCCATGGACTCCACGCATCTACTTCACTGTCCCGCTCTGCGCAAGACTTTTCTCGTCGAGCGGTATTGGGATATGTTAGATGAATGAACTCTGTTGCAGCTTGTTTTGTTGTTTTCTCTGTTTTTATTTTTTTTATTTTTCGTTAGTTCGTTCCAAGAAATTGTTTATAATCTGCAATTGGAAATTAAAAAAAAACCAAAAAACCTTTTAGCTAAAATTGGGGGGATATATATATATATATATATATATATATATAATAATAATAATAATAATAATAATAATAAAAAATAAACAAGTAATATAAAAAAAAAATTTTTTTTTAAAGTCAATTCCTACTTTTTTTTTCACTACAGTGCTAAAAGTCCTTTATAAATAATTTTCATTCATTTTTTTAAGTTTATCTGGCACT